AGAATCTCTAGCTCTAACGACTCTGAAAGTGACCAAGAAACTGTCATTGCTGAGGATACCCGCACTCTAAGAGAGTTGGCGGCTCCCAACTTGGCGCAACAGCCTTTATGCATTAATTTTTCAACTTTGCATAACGCTATTGCTTTTGAACTGAAATCTGGCTTAATTCATTTATTGCCTTCTTTTCATGGACTTGCAGACGAAGAACCTCACAAATACTTGCAAGAGTTCGACGTGGCTCCAGCATGAAACCATCAGGTGTTACTGACGAACATATCAAACTTAGAGTCTTCCCATTCTCACTCAATGATGCTGCAAATGATTGGCTTTACTATCTCCCACCTGGAAGCATCAACACGTGGAACGACATGAAAAAAGAAATTTTTGCGAAGTACTTTCCGGATTCGAGAGCTGTGATTCTTTGGAAGGAAATATGTTGCATCAAACAACAATCAGGTGAAACGATTTATGAACATTGGGAGCAATTTAATAAGCTTATCATTAAATGTCCACAACACCAAATTCCTCCACAATAATTGATTCAATATTTTTATAATGGTTTTTCATTGATGGACAGGAACATCATCGATGCTGCAAGTGGTGGAGCTCTAGTAAATAAGACACCAGCACAAGCCTGGGATCTTATTGCTCGGGTGGCTGAGAACACGCAGTAGTTTGGCTCGAGGATGTTGGACAAACGAGCGGAAACAGTAACGACCATTCTATCCAATCGATGTAGCAACAACTTTCTGAATTGACGAGCTTTGTTCACAAGATGGTCGTGGAAAAATCTAACTCGAGTGTCCAGGTCAAGGCGTGTGGAATATGCACAAGTACAGGCCACCCTAAGGATGCATGCCCGACCCCCCAAGAAGGCTATGTAGTGGATGTAAATACTGCAAACTATGGTGTGAATGAACCTCCAATGTACAACCCGTACTCCAACACCTACAATCCAAGCTAGAGAGATCATCCGAACCTGCGCTATGGAAACGCACAACAGAGTAATTAAATCTAGATTGAGGATTTTATCAAAATAGAATAATCCTAAAGTCTCTGTAACAAATCTAGATATTTGTTAACAAAATCGAAGATATTATAAACAAGGTAAAACCTGATATCTATCAATAATCATATTTTTTACCATTTATTCCCAGTCATAATCAATTTTTAGCAATTCTCTTTCGTTACTAATTTGACACTGCAATCTTCATAACGTCTCTACGGTTTTGGCCCTCCTTTACGTGTATATTTGTTTTGTCCACGTATATGTTTATTTGACGCAATAAATCTTCCATCGCAAGTTGATTTTTCCTTTTTTCATAGATCTCAATTTTTCGTGGTTCCAAATTTAAAATATGTTTCCTTCGTTATCCATTGATTTCTCTATTTTCATGGATTTCAACTCATCATTGTACCATATTTAAATATATATCCTTGTCCATATATTTAATTTTTTTTATGAATTTCTCTATTTTCATGGATTTCAACTTATCTATGCATCATATTTAAAAATTATCTTTCATTCTTCGTAGATTTAAAATTTTCCATAATTATGTATTTTCGGTGGATTTCAATTTTTCTATGTTAACATAGGTCTTCTTTAAACCTTATATTTATTTTATTTTAGAACTACTATTTGATGTGTTTGGATTATTAATTGTAGCTGGCAACAAAAACAATTTGAATATTTTTATTGATTATGGTCATTTTTATAATTCTAATTAGGCTTTTATTTGATCGATCAAATTCATAATCTCCAATATATTAAATATTAAAAGTTTATTAGAATTAAGAGTGTCCTTATTTTTTCTGATGATTTATAATAATTTTTTCAATATTAAATAATAATAATAATAATAATAATAATAATAATAATAATAATTTTGAATGATTATTCAAATATATTTTGTACTATATATTTAATGTATGGTGTAAAATAGTATTGTGTAACTTCTCATGTCCCACGTAGGAACAATGATGAAAAAGTAGTAGTATTGACTCCTATAAATTGACCCATTTGGATTTTGTTTTAAAACACACAAGAAGTTTTTTTTTTTTTTCTTTAGTAACTAGAGATAGTGAAATTGAAATTTGGTGAGTTGTTGTGAGGAGGGTTTTACAATTTTATTAGTGCAAAATTGTAATAAATATTTTAGTGGATTATCCCGTTTTGGGATCGTGGATGTAGGTCTGTTGTAAGACCGAACAATGTTAAATTCTCGTGTCTTGTTATTTTTTTACTCTCTCTTCCCTTGTGTGTTCCTAACAAGTGGTATCAGAGCGAGGCCTCAGTTTATTTGGTTGTTGGAAGTGCTTGTTTATTGAAGAGTTATTAAGCACTATGTCCACTACTTTAAAATATGAGGTTCCGCTCTTTGATGAAAATAGTGATTTTACTATGTGGCAAAGCACAATTCAAGACTATTTGGTGCAGCAAGATCTTGATAATTGACCATACTAACAAGTTTAATGAGCTAGCATGTCGACTGTTGAATGCAAGAGAGAAAATTAAAGAGGAAGAGCAAGTGTTGCTCTTGTTACCTTCATTGTCTTGTTAGATTCATTGCCCAAATCCTACAAGTCGTTGGCGCAGTCAATGTTGGTTGAGAAAACTACATTGAAATTGAATGAGATGATAACGGTTTTGAAGGAAAATGACAAGATAATGGGAAATGAAAACACTTTAAAGGAGATTCAAATACTAGTTGTGGGAGGTTCTAAAAGAGAAAGAAAAATGAAGAGTGACCGTAGTGGAAGATCGAAATCTCGGCTGAGATATTACAGCTCTATTGAGTGTCATTATTGTGGAGAGCTTGGTCACATTCAAAATCACTGTCGACTTTTTAAAGAAGACTTAAGAAGTTTGAGAAATTTGAAGGGTAACTCTAAAGTTAAGAACTTCGCAAACGTGGTCAGTTATGAAGGTGATTTACTTATTTTAAATACAAATCCTGTTGAGAATTGTAATTGGGTGATGGATTCTGCTGTCGATGTCCATATATGTAAAGATCAAGCTTTATTTGATACTTTGCATACAAAGAGAGATTTTGGCTATATAAATGTGGAGAATAAAATGAAGTTGCGAATTGAAAACATTTGAAGAGTTTTCTTGAAACTCCACAATGGTAATGTCAAAACAATTTTTAATGTGAGATATGTGCCTACTGTTGGAGCTAATGTTATTTCATTGGGTGAGTTAGCTTCACATGGGCATAGATATGTTGGTACTAAAAATCTATGCAAAGTGTACAAGGGTGACAACTTGATTATGCAAGGGAGAAAAAAATAAAACATCTATTATTTAGATGAATGCACCTTGTGAGCAAATGTGGAGAACATCAATGATATGAAGAATAAAAAAATTGAGAAGTGAGTTAGTTTTTTTTTATGAGAAGTGAGACTATGGGAAGACGGAGGATTTATTGTGTAACTTCCCATGTCCCACGTAGAAAATTTGATGAAAAAGTAGGAACATTGATGCCTATAAACTGACCCATTTTGATCTTGTTTTAAAACACGACAATAAATCTTTTTTCTCTTTAGTAACTAAAGAGAGTGATTTGGTGAGTTGTTGTGATGAGGGTTTTAAAACCAAACTACGTTAAATTGTTGTGTCTTATTATTTATTTTTATTTTTTTCTCTCTTTGTGTGTTCCCAACAAATAATAACATAACAATATATTTGATTGTAATTTCAATAAAATTATAATATTTTTTCATAAATTATTTTATAAAATTATTATTTCAAATTACAAACAAATAAATCCTAATATATCATGGATGGGGCATAGAACGAAGCTAGTAATTAGCATATTTAACTACATAAATATGTTGGTTATAATTAAACTTTACTAACTATGTTTTATTTTATTTGATGTCATCTATCAATTCAAGGCACGATAAATAAATATATATATATCTACTGATTATGTGTGTGTATATATAGATATAAATATATATATATATACAGTATAATTAACTACTATATATACAGTCTGTGTGACAATCTCTATGAATGTGTTTGTGATGAAAATGTGACACTTAGACAGGGCATAGTAACAGTAATGGTCTTTAATTTTAAACATTATCCTCAATCCCTTTTACAGAAGTCAGTTAATAATACAATACATACACTCTTTGCTTAATTGGCACTTCATAAATTAAATACTATTCCCTCCGTATCAGATATTTTGTCCACTTTACCGTAGACACGAGAATTTAACGGAGATATAATTAGTAAATAATTAAAAATATATTAGTAAAAATAATTATTGTATAACAAAAATAATTATAGATTAAGATTAAAATAATTGATTAGTATAATTAAAATTAAAAAATTATAAAAATAAAAATAAATATATATATTAAATTCACAAAAGGCCATTAAAATATCTTATGCTCTATTCACATATCAAGATGAAATTAAGTATATACCAAAATATTCTTAAAAATTATATTACTAAATAAAGAAAAGGCAAAGGAAAAAATTGACCACATTTATTTATTTATGTTTTTGCTACTTTGAAAATAAATAAAAAATATATTATATTTTGATGTACTACCAATAACACCTTATAGTATAATATTTTGAAAAAGGATAATTTTAAATGAAATACAAATCTTTCATGCAATATGTATAAATAAAAAATTGTGTTGAAAAGACAGGTAACTATAATCATGTTTTGTATTAAATATTTTGAAGCAATATATGATTGTATTTTTTAAATATAAATGGTATTTGTGTGTGAAATTCTATAATGTCACCAGAAATCCTTTAAATTATTCATTATTGCTGAGACTGTGCTACAGAAAAGATGAAATTATTTTTATACATATATATTTATTTATTTAAAGAAGAAGAAAAGAAACTGTGAGATGAGATGAGATGTTGACTGGTCATGGTAAACAAGAGAAGTGAAGATGAAGTTAGCAGGATGGATAAATACAAGAATCAACCTCATAATCAAATCAAATTTTCAAAAAAAAATATTCTCCAATTCATTCGTAAGTGTTTGCTGCAATGTTCTTCCAACTCTCTTTACAAACAAAACTAAAGAATCCCCCCCCCCCCCCCCTCTCTCTCTCACACACACATACACATTTAAATAATACTGGAGTGATACCTACTAGCTAGCTTGATAATAATAATTATAATTCATTAAGGCAGAGGAGGTGTAATATGATGATGATGATGATCCAATTTCCTTCTCTTAGATTCTTCTTCTTCTTCTTCTGTAGTAACAGTAGTAGTAGTAGTAGTCCTCTTCATCCTCCTCCTCTTCCTCACCAATGCAGCAGCATCCAACACCCCATTTGGACTAGCCGGAATAATAACGACACCCTCGCCATCATCCGTTGCAACACAAGTGGAAGTAGAACCAGAACCATCCTCATTTGAACTATCCATAGACGCAGATGCAGATGTGCTGTTTCGACAACCAACCATTTCCATTTCATCCTTCAACAATGTAGAAGCACAAGAAGTTGCTGCTGCATTCATTCTTGAAACCAAATCCCCAACCATTCCCAAGCACTCTACGATGCGGCCCTACAATGGAAAAACCAATGCAAACTCCAATATCAATGAATCTCAAACCAAGATTATTGCAGTAGAAAGATGTGTCACTTACTACTACTACTACTACTACTACCTTCTCAACTCCAATGCAACCAAACAAGGCCTTATCACCATCGTCGTCATCATCATCATCCATGTCAATTGCTCCTTGCTTTTCATCTGATACAAACACAGCTACAGCGGCAGCTATCTCAGACGGCCTGAATTCCAAGAACTCAATCCCTGCACATTCATTCAAATTTCCCCAATCCTCTTCATCTCATTTTCGCAACTACATCTACTAATCAAATAAACCCACCCTCACCTTTAACAGTGCCCAAGATGATCTTGAGTGATCTTTCAATCAGCGATCCTATCGGGGCATGGGCGTGGGCGTCTACATCTGTATTTACCTTCCTGAGGAAGTAGTCAATGAAGCTAAACGGTGTGCACGAATTCATATTCCAATTCAAGCAATTCAACACCAAAATCTCCATCCGTTGTATGGATCTGCCTTGGAATAAGAATTTGGGTTCCCCTACCTGTAGTCGATTGTATTATAGCATATTATAAACAAGTCAATAAATTAAAAATGGAGGTGATGATTTTGATACCTGCAAGTCCGCGGCACAAGGTACATTAACCTCATTGATCTTGGCAGATAATGATAAGCACGAAACGGCTAACAACTGGATCGCCCATTCTCTTCCGCCCTGTAATAAACAAACAGGTCGATTATATAATAAAAATGATTCAAGAACAAAAGTTGTGTGGTGCTCCATTGCTGCAATGGACATGACACGAGATGACATACAGGGAGGTCGTGCAGGGAGAGGAATCTGTCCAAGAAATTCATGGCCGTGTAGAGACATAATCCCCCCAAGTTGTGGTGACAGCAAGCCTACACAGTCACAGTCAGACGAGACACAATGCTACGCCATTAAAGACAAACTCAAATACTAGGAATTAAGTAATAGTAGTAGTAGTAGTAATACTTCTATTAACAACACTACAGCAAAAGGGAAGGGCATTGCCTTGCCTTTTCAAATCGAACGAAAATTACGATAAAAATGAAATGAAAAAAAATCTACCTTAACGATCCAATCGAGTGCCTCTGATCTGAACCTCAAATTCAAATCGCCATTCCTTAATCGAGCAACATAATCGTGTCGGGGCAAGTGATGCCTCTCCCTCTCAACCATCCAACCCACGGATTCGTCGCTCAGGGGATCAAGCAACGGTTCAGATTCCTCAATGTTGATTTTCCGATGGTCACTCGAAATAATAAAATCGTCGTCGTCATCGAAGCTGCTGAGGCCGGCTTTGGTGTCTTCTTCATTACAGAGTAAGTCTGCAAAGGCGTCCTTGATTCCAGCCATTTTTTTGGGGGGGGGGGGGGGGGGGGGGGGGGGGGGGAAGAATCAGAGCAAACAATTAACAAATAGAAAAACCCACACTAGCCTGCCTGGCTGTATTGTTGATGGGATGGGATGGGATGGAGAGATTATGAATATGATTAAAGACCAACTTCTTTTCTAACGGAGGAGGAGAGAGATTTGGGATTTGGGTTGTTCTTGTTCGGGAATGTTCTTGCTTGTTTCTCCCATATTTATAAGAGAACAAGACAGGCATGGGTGAGACTTATTAATAGTAAGACTTTGAGAAAAGAAGAGAGTATTTCTGGAGAGAGACAAGAAAAATAAAATCAAATCAAAAAATGAGCAAAAAGTTAAAAGGGTAAAAATCCAATTAAGCTCAGACAAACATTTGACTTAACTTAGGAAGAATGAGACTGAGATTGGAAGCCCACGACAAACTCTTTTTTTCATATATTTTTTTTTAATATTAAATCACAATTACATATAGTAACAAAGTTTGAAACACAGATTTTACGGGTTTTGTTTGTTGTCTTATTTTTAAATTACACACATATATATATATATTTAATATAATAATATAGATTTTTAATATACATATTTTAGGGATTTCTTTATTTATCACCTCTCAAGTCTCAACCATCTTTGTATATATTATTTACATATTTTCCTATCTAAAAAACTCAAATTAAAAATACTAAACATACACATTCCATAGTGTTCCCTCTCTTCCGACAAATATAAAAAAATTTGATTGGACACGAAAATTTATATAGTACAAATTTAATTATTTAAGTAGTGTTATATTAGTTATTTAGTAATTAAAAAAAATTAAAATATGTATTTAAATATTTTTAACATTATATTTCAATAAAATATATAAAATATGAATATTATTTTATAAAGGATAAATTTTTATAATACAAATAAATAAAAAATATATATTTATTTATCATTTTCATAAATTAATTTTATAAAAAAAAATATGAAGTTTTAAAGGTAAATAAAAATATTTGTTAATTGATAAGACATTAAAATAAGAGATTTTGAGCGTGTCCTATATATAAGAGACTAGAAATTTAATTAAATTGATTTATATTGGTTAAATGTAGTTAAAATTGATAAATTTACTAAAAAATAGAAATAAATCATCTTTTGTGAGACGGACGAAAAATAAAAATATGTCGTCTCAGAAAAGATGGATAATTAGGTAACCATTATCGTCGTATAACTGCTAGATTTAATCAATATTTCTCTATACTATTTCATTGCGGTGAATTTAGCGTTGGTGTTAGTAATCGCTTCATGTATAATAATGTGTTTCACACTTAAAAATACCTTTCAGATTTTTAGGTGGTTGGTTTCTAGGAATGTTTCCTTATGCGGAAGCCTCGTCCGTGCATTATTATGTTGATGCGACATTATGGGGAAGATGGTGACTTGCCCCTCGGCCAATATTGTCGTGCATGTTTGTATTCATAAGGCCATAATAACTGGGATCTACCTTCTATTAGTTTTGAGTGCAGGTGGTTTTTCATGGTTGTGTAAGTTTGTACCTAATTGTTAAATCGGAATTTACTTGGTCCAAACAAAATGCTTGATGTGTAGTGTTGTACCCAATATTTAATTGCTACTTGAATGGAATGCAGCCTCATCCGGGTTGATCGTCCATCCGTTGTTATCTTTATGGAATGTCGTCGGTCATCTCGTCTAACTACAATCGGCCAACTTTGGCCCAATGGTTGCAGGCAGTTTGGAAAATTCTCCATACTTTTATTTTCCATCATCTTGTATTAGAGTTTTTTTTTTTCCATCTTAGTCTCTGATGTAGTGGTACTGTAGGAATCATTTTCGGGGGCTACTACCTTCATTTGTCCTTTTCTCTCTTCCTTCCCACACATGGATCCTTGCCTTTAGCATTGGTTGTGTGCAACGGCGGGGGTGAAAAAAAGATGTCATGAGAGAGCTACCTCTGAAAAATGAGGTGATTCTGCATATTGAATTAAATAGAAAACAGAAAGAAATTTTGACTTGCAACTATTAGGTATTAACTTGCGAAGGTGGTGCCCATGTGAGCGAATACTTGGCTTATAACACTCAATTTATTATTATTATTATTTAATGTGTATTTCTTAATTTTTTGGTACTTTGAATGTTTAATTATGATAAGCTAACATAATGTTCCACATTTTGAAACTAGATTTTCCTTATCAATGTGGCGATGGAACTGCGCAAGCTCTGTTGTCATCCCTTCATATTGGAAGACGCTAAACCAGAAGATACTAATGAGTTCAAGAATTAACCTAGAATTTTAACTCAATTCTTTTATCCGTTTTAGTTGATATGAACAATTGGTACAATATCAACATGCTATCATTTCCGTGAATGATCTCGGTTTACCATGGTGAATCTTTCGAGTCTTCTTTTTTTTTTCTTTTCCTTGTAAAAGGAGTTATATTTATTACTAATTTTTTATGTCTGTGGCTGATTCTTATTGTATTCTGAAGGAATGATTTGTGATTGTGGTTAGCATTTCTAGAGCTTTTATGGAGGATGTAATCTATGGAAATTTTCTTAAACCTCCAAAATTCAATTATTTGGTTGTATGAAAATCATTGGTAGTCGGTGGAGGTGAAACAAGGATAAGTGGTGGCCATTGTTTGTTATGTTAATACGATGCCTTTGTGTTATGCTAACAAATGTTTTTTAATTTCATTCCTCGGGATGAAATTGTGATATTTTATAATATAGGTCAACCAATTAAGTAGGTATGAGTATACTGCATGTAGCTTTACACAAAAATATGCCAAAAGATGATACTCGTATCAATGCCTAGGAAAAACTTAAACCAGTCTTATATTTTTCATCTATGTTTGGATATTAAATAAAGTCTTTTGGCGTGGTACTTTTGTATAGCCTGTAAACCTTAGATTAAAGTTCAAATTATGCTTATGCCTGATATCAACAAGAAACTACATACATTTCATATAATTCCCTTGAATGAACATGTTGCATTAGCCATACTAGCTTATGGAGAGCTATTATGGCTAACACAGATTTTGCTTTAAGATAACAGCTTAGTCAAGAAGAAGCATCATGTCTATTGTAACACCCAATATACACATAATTAGATCTTTATCTGTAACGCCAAGTGTCAGAAATCATTTTAGAAGTTATCATAATTGTAACTACGTATCTTATTAGCTTAACTATAGAGATCTCATAAGTGATGATGCAAGTTCCAATTTGAATATTGCGATAAGTATATTTGGATTGTGTATTTATGTGTGTGTGTGATATAGCTCACTTTATCTCATACTACAGTTAATGATTAAGTTTGAACTTCATAACAGAAGTTCATATTTGTGCATCCTATCACAATATTATTTATTGTTATTAGGCCATTCACAAATAGTAGCATAGACGTTTGAGCATCCATCATTTGTGTCAAAGATATTTTAGATGCATCGACTTAGCCATATACTTGAATTTTGCTTCCATTTTCTTCCTCTTGCTTTGAACATTACCAATTGACCTGATCAATGTTTCATTGGTCTCAACCAATGCTATATGTGAGTGCCTAAATTATAGATTTAGAGTTTTTAAAAATTGGCCTTTTTGGCTTGGGGTTTGATCCACCCCTTAAAAAAACTATATTTTTTTTACATAGTTTAATTTATTTTGAGTAAGGTTTTTATTTTGTAACATGTGTTTGTGATTCTTGCTCTTCCATGAACTACCGTCACTTTGAGAATATTCCCGCCTCTATTTGCATGATCACAGGTGGTCACTATGCAAAAAAAGTCAAACTTTGTATCAAGAATTGGATTTGTTAGAACTTTATGTACAAAGAATAATGCAAATGTCCAACATAACACAATCTTCCAAATTTGTTTCTTGTAATTTCTTTCACGCCTTATCTGGTTCATGTATTTTATATGTTGTCAAGTTAGAACTTTATATAGAAGGTAAAAATGCAAGTGTTAAGATCCATCTTCCGAATTTGTTTGCTTTAATTTTTTTCATGCTCCTTATTTGGTTCTAGTCTTTTTTGTGTTAACAGCCTAAGTAAAAGGTACACCAACTAAGAGAGGTATGTTGGACATATCATACATGGAGTAGAGATCATCTTTTATATTATCAATATAGAAGGATTGTGAGTCCCGTAAGGCATGGCTTGGTGGTGTAGGGGTTGGACTTGTGACCGTGAGGTCATGGGTTCAAACCCCCGACGCCTCAAGTCACCTACCACACATGGTTCGCCTAATGTGTCTTTCCCGTCAGGCCTGGTTTGCAGGGTATTAGGTTCGGCCGAAGGTTTACCCAGTGCGCACTTTCGGGTAGCGTAAATTCAAGTTGAACTTTACAAATCGAATTAGATGGCATCTTGCACTTGCTACAATGGAACTAATGATTCCTGTAAATGAAGGTAGGGAGATCAAGAATCTTCTTGTACAATAAATGAAAACCGAACCGAACATTCTGACATCCTCTAGACATCAATTTTCAAACTGATCAATTGCAGCAACAACTTAAAAGGACACTTAACATATTTTTGTCCCTATTCCATCGGAGAATTCACCTTTCTTAGATAACCAGGATATGATAAATATGGATGCCAAAAAAGAGTGTAAAGAGAAGGATTAAACTCAATCTACTAAAAGGAAAGGTTAAATTTCTAAAAGTCTGGGATTGAACTATATTAGAATATAAAACTGAAATTCTCTATTTCAATTATAAGAATTTGTACATATTTATAATGACGTACAAATCATCTAAATAACGCAAGAATCCTACAAATCTCTTAAATAAGATAACTACCATAAATATAATATATATTTTCTAAATATATTTTAACATCCCTCCTCAAACTCAACATATGATCGAACAAATTTGAGTTTGTCAGAAGTGACCGAAAAAGGTATAGCCGAGATCTTCTACGAACGAACTTGAATTTTTCATTGACTGAAAGTGGTGTAGCCGTTCACTGGATCAGAGTCAGAATCAAAATTCAACACCGTTAGAGTTGGACCCTATTATCCAACTACCATGTATTTCCAAAAAAATTGCACACCTGAACGAGTCTTTATAGCAGCCTTCTCGTGAGACGATTAGGAGGTATATTAAATCTAGTTGTTTCAAAGGGCTATTTCATGTTAAACTAATTTCTATTTCTGTCGCTCCTATTATGCAATTACTAAGTTTTTGGGACCC